GCCTTCCTTTGTTGAGTTTAGGTCTGCTTCTTTTTGTAAACTTTATGTGCCTTTGTGGTTTACTTGTTGGGCATAAAAAGCTGGTTGGTCTAGGCTTCAGGTTCTCTCTTTTGATTTTATATTGGAGTGGCCTAATTCCTTTTGTCTTCAGGAATTCCCACAGAGGCCCAAGTGAGAAGAGGCTCATATAGTAGCAGGCTTTCTCCCTAAGGTAGAGTCCCTCCAGGAAAGATGCTGCCCTCAAGAATTTGGGGGCTGGGCTGGCCTGGGAGAAGGGCCCAGGATAGATGCTGGTCTCAGGAAGCTGGTGGCTATGCCACCCAGGGAAGTAAAGGGAGGTGAGGGCAGGACCTGGCCTAGAGTGTTTCTGGGGGCCGCAGGGAGGAAATGGGTTGGTCTGGATGCAAAGGATCAGGAAGCAGTGGTGGCTCTAGGCCGAAAGGTTAGCCCCGGTGTTTCGGGGCTAGGAGGAGAGACTCTGCACGGGAGTTGGGAGGGTGAAAGAGGCTGGGGGAGTCAAGGCACGCTGGACTTACCCAAGGGAAGGTGCTGGTACCAGGACACTGGAGGCCGTGTAGCCCAGGAAGCAAAGGGGTATGAGGGTGGGACCTGGTCCAGAGGGCTCCCAGGGAAGGTGCTGGGACCAGGACACTGGACCCTGTGCAGCTCAGGGAAGTAAAGGGAGGTGAGTGGTGTTGAAGTCTTTTATACTGTGGGCGTGTGCCATGAACGTAATAAGTGGCTGTTACTACATGCTTTCTACCCTGGCTCTGTGGCTGTTGAAGCACAAGCAAAGCTAAGTTCTGGGTTGGCTGTGTGCTATGGTTCATTTTAGAGGACAGACAGAAGGACACACCCCAGGGCTGATGGAAACATAGTGGTGCAGATTTTACAGCAGCTACTGATTTATTTTATTCAAATATTGTGTTATTTTCCTTTTGAACCCCTCCTGTCCAGTTAATTTTTATGCAAATTACATTTTCTTAAGTAATCAAACATGAGTTCTAAGTGCTATTTTCTAGATTTCCTAATGAAGACTGACTATTAGAGAGTACTGAACTCCTTGTAACTTTCAAATGAACTTTTCTGTCGTAACATCATAAAAATAGCACCAGAACCCATTATCTTGGTAAACTGGAGAAGATTTGATGTGTGTTTCCTTGAAACAATTGTCAAGAGACTGGACCAAGGGTTTTATTAAGTCTAGAATAGAAAATTTTAAAACAGCAGTGCATAGACTTTGTTGATGGACTCAGTTACAAAAACTTACAGCAAGTCACAATGGGCACTAAAGTTGCTTTATATCCCCCGAGGCCTTAGGTTCCATATGCTTAAAAATTCAAATATGCTAAATTGCATTGGAAGTGAACATTTTCACAGCTGCCATTTTCCCCAGTGTTCTGTAAAATCTGGCGTTCACAGTCTTTGACTGCCTTGGCAATGGATTGCATTTCAGAAAGGAACAACAGCAAATTAATGGACATTCAGACCAACCAAAGAAAACAAAGTCTTCACATTGAATGATCTTAAAAGGGATTTGCTGTGCTAGTCCAAGACAAAATCTGGGAGGCAGTGCATTTCCCAAATAGTTAAGTTTGGTTTTAGTTTTCCCTGTGTTTTCTTTACACACATAGGAATATCAAAATTCTAGAGCAATGTCAGCCTCCACAGCGAACACTTTCCCCAAATCAGTAATTTGCTGTGGTGCAGTGTGTCGGGCAGCCTTCCCTTACTATGATACTGAAGATAATCAACTGACAAAGAGAAAAGGGTTGTTTAGGCTCAGGTTTTAGAAGTTCTAGTCAATGATGAGGTGGACTCTTTGCTTCTAGGCTTCTGGATGGCAAAGGTGAGAAACATGTGGCCCAGAAAAGCTCATGACAGGAAGTAAGAAAGAGACAAGGGTCTCATTCCCCCAGTGACCCAAAACCTCTCACCGGTACCCACCTCTTCCCAATAGCACCCAGCTAAGGACCAAGCCTCTCCCATGTGGGACTTTGGGAGACATTCTGCACCCATTGATACGACATAGCTTCAGGAGATCACCTGCTTGCAGAGCTAACAGTCTATCCGTTGTGTCTTTAAGCCACATAAGCAGAAGGAAGTAATCAAATACTCTCCTCTGGAGATCTATTGCAACTGATGGATACATATATGATCGGATTTGACGTTTGGCTCCTCCATACTTTGGAATTTCTTCAATATTTTAGCAGACCTCACAGAGAAAAGTTTCAAAGACTTTTTTCAATGTTGTGATGGTCCATTATTTACAGTAAAAGGTGTGAGTATTAATAATAGAAAACTCTGGGAGCCTTGATAGATTCCTGTGAATGTTTGTTCAGTGTCCAAACCTGTAAGTTACCTAGAATTTTGCTTTTCAGAATGGAGGCAGAAAACTTCTTGGAGTATTTTATAAAAATGATGTGGATAATTTTTCACACAAATGTATAAGCTGAGAGCCCAACATAATATATTTCAGCACATTGGGAGAGTTTTTTACAGAGGAATCAGTTCCTACCATCTACAACATTTGAGAAAACATGAGAGATCCTTCACCATTTGTTTTACTTTTCCTCACCACTGCTGTCAGTCTTCTGAAGGAAAGGGGGGAGAAAATTGCTGAGCACTCGTTGTCAGGGGAACAGAACAATGAGTTTTATCAGTAAGGCAGTATAT